TCGAACGCAATTGATGCGTTTGAGCCGAGCATTGAAAGACGGCCGCAATACAACGAGAGACAATAAAATGATTTTGCAGCATGACAATGCTCGACCTCATGTTGCGAAAGTGGTCAAGACATACTTGGAAACGTTGAAATGGGAAGTCCTACCCCACCCGCCATATTCTCTAGACGTTGCTCCCTCTGACTATCACTTGTTTCACTCAATGGTGTGAATTATCAAATCTTGTTTCCTTTTTTACGCAATATCATTTCAACTAGATATACGTCGGGATTAGTGACGCGATGCAACTCGTACTCATAGAATCCTCCAACGACAGGTTTCTCACGGTTATCTTCCAGTAGAAACGTCATAGTAGATTAGTTTTCCGTACTTTGATGATTTTAAATACCTCCAATTTAGCATATAACCTTTTTCGTCTCGAATTTGCTCACATGTATCGAATCGCTCACTTTGAATCGTGCGAATGCCTTTACGTTACTGTACGTACTTAAGAATTTGTCAGCAATCATGAAAATTATATTGATACCGCATACCGATAATTCGATGCTTTCGCGCGTTGTACTCAGACACGAAACGGGAGCAAGTCAATTCATTTATAATTTCTTTTGTGCATAAATTGTTTCCACATATTTTCAATGTACGATTGAATAGTTCAACGATTTATATTAGGTATACCACTTTGCTTCCGCCGTTTTTTTTCCGAAATTCGAGGCTTTATTGTAAAAAACTGGTTATACATTTATGATTCAAAGTATATTGTCCATCGCTGGCCACTACTTTCTCCCATCTTTCGGGTAGCGTATGAATCCTGCGTCGAAAAAACTGGTCATCTTTTGAGGCTATTCACGAATCGATCCAATTTTTTACTTCTTCATAAGACCGGAAGTGCTGGTCAGCCAGGCCGTGTGCCATTGATCGAAACAAGTGATAGTCAGAGGACGCAGAGCAACGTCTGGAGAATACGGCGGGTGGGGTAGGACTTCCCATTTCAACGTTTCTAAGTATGTCTTGACCGCTTTCGCAACATGGGGTCGAGCATTGTCATGCTGCACAATCACTTTATCGTGTCTCGTTGTATTGCAGCCGTTTATCTTTCAATGCTCGGCTCAAACGCATCAATTGCGTTCGATACCGATCGCCTGTGATTGTTTCAGTCGGTTTTAACAGTTCATAATACACTCCGCCGAGCTGGTCCCACCAAATACAGAGCATGACCTTGGACGTCAAAATCCCCGTCCTTGAAGCGTTGAAACCACTCACGACACGTTCTTTCATTAATAGCGGCCTCACCATAAGTATTTGAGAGCATTCAATAAGCCTCAGCCGCAGATTTTTTCATATTGAAGCAAAAAATTAAAACCTCCCGCAAATGATGAGAATTTGGCTCGTAAACTGACATTTTCAATCGAGAATAACTTTATGATGCAGACACAAATCAACTAATGTTTCTATGGAGTTACTATTGTTGACAGATGCCCAAGTTTATTGTATGATGTCTATGATCTATTTATTTCGATCACCACTTACCGCTAAAGCCATCTACAGGAAAACGGCGGAAGCAAAGTTGTACACCTAATATTTTATACACAACTGCTTGCGTCATTTCGATTGCGTCATTCGAATTACACTGCGTGTAATCCTCAAACATTGTGGATCTTGCCACAATACTGTTCTTGACGCCTTTTATCTTTTTCATATCCTTCTTTCCATACGCAAGGCATATATTTTCGCTCTAAGCCCGACTTCAGTCATTACGCCATTGTTTTCATCTTTCATCAAGCCCGGAACTTTTTTATTTACTAGCGGAATGTCGTAAGCATTGTCAATCCCTCGATTCGCGTATCGAATCTGTTAATATCACGTTTCATAATATCATATATGTCGTTGCATTTGATAAATTAGACTTAGTCCGTATCAGTGTACAATTATAATTTTAATGTAACTTTACAATTTTCGCGAAACAGCGGTCATATACTCGTAGTGAAATTCGTACAAACACGTCTTGGATACATCGAGGATATCTACATACGAAATGTGTACAAAAAATTTGTGCACTGAATTTTATTCTGCCAACGCTGTAAGCTTGTACAGTAGTGCAAGTCTCAGCAAGTGAAGCATCACATATCCTTACTAAAAGTTAGGTCACGATCGAGTGAGATCTCTACGTGTCTATTTTTATTAACATACTTTTGATCATGTTGGTGGAATGGAGCGAGACGTTTTAACCGAGCAAAGAATTAACATCAGATTTCTCGTAAAACTTGGCAAAAACGGTCAAGAAATTCTTCAAATGTTGGAAATGATGTATGGTGAGTCTGCCATGAAGCATAGAACTGTGTATAAATGAGTGGACCGTTTCCAAGGAGGGAAGGAAGAGCATCGATGACGAGGGACGCCCTTCAACATCACGTATCAATGAGAACATTCAATATATTCACGATTTGGTGAAGGCAGACCGTCGAATTATCACTAGAATGATTGCAGAAAAACTTGGAATAAGTAACGATAGTATTTAGACAATTTTAAAAGGAGATTTAAACATGTAGAAGTGTGTACAAAAATTGTTCCGAAAGAAAAATTGTTTTGACTGACGAGCAAAAGACGTGTTGACTGTTGTAATGACTGGATCGTATATGCCCAAGATTTAAATTTTCTCAAAAGGATGATAACTGGAGACGAATTCTGGATTTATGAGTATGATCCTGAAACAAAAAGGCAGAGTGAAGAGTGGAAGCACCGTGGTTCGCCTTGCACCAAAAGCACGCAAGAGTCGTTCAAAAATCAAGATCGTGCTCATAGTTTTTTTCGATATTCGTTCATCATGAATATGTTCCAGAAGATGAATTTGTTAATCTAAAATCTATGTTAAAGTCTTAAAGCATCTGCGTGAACGTGTGCAACGTACACGACCCGAATTGCGAGTAGAGAACGCATGGATTCTGCATCAGGACAATGTACTTTCGCGGACCGTATTCGTTACGCGCAAGTTTTTGACCAAAAATAATATCATTACCATTCCATCATTAGACCCTCCCTATTCACTTGATCTAGCATCCTACGACTTCTATCTGTTCCCTAAAGTAAAAAATATGATGCGGGATGAATATTTTGTGGCTGTTGATATCATAAAATGAGAAACGACAAAGCTCCTAAAAAAACTGACAAAGGAAGACATGCAGCACAGCGCTTTCAGGAATGGGAGAAGCATTAGATACGCCAAGTCAAGGGAAGAGTACTCCGAGGGTGACCACAACCCCGTTACAGAATAATTTAATTTGGATTTCTGGTGAACCGAGTAACGAACTTTTTGTACACACCTAGTGTATCGGTTTGTCGAACTTCACCTCGAGTTTTCGCATTTCTATTGCAACTAGGTTCTCGGAAAAAACATTTCTACTGTGAAAGTTTAGTTTCGCGATCATTGCCTCTACATCGTATCTTCCGTCCCAAACGCGTTATGAGTCGCAATAGATCAATGTGATTACATTCTCCATGGTCTTGCCGAAAATCGCGTTGTTTTATTATTAATTGCATTAATTTGAATAAGTTTTTTTCGAACTCATTCTTTGCTACAGTTCTAAAATTTGTATTAAGTTGTACTCGCGAAGCTACGAAGATTGTATATGATGGATCTTTGTAATGCGCAGATCGTGATGAATACATTGCTGCAGATTGCGATAATCTTTGACATAATGCCTTTTATCATACAATGTTGCGAGGAACTTCTCCTCTCGCTTGGTGGTTTCTCGCGCGTTGGACAAAACGGTAGATCAGAATGCACATGGAGATACTCCAAATCCACCTCGAGAACGTAACTTGTTGGTGAATCTGTCGCGATAGTCGTAACGTAAAAATTGTCTACATCGTCGATCCAGCGAAAATTAATATGACAATAGTTGTCACATTGCCCAGCCATACAGATTATCAAAATACATCAGGTACATTGCGGTTTCGGTGGATCGTACGACTGCATGTACTTGTTGTTAGCCTACGCATATCTGTTTGAACATTGATTTAATTCGCCACGTTCGATAAATAGAACCATGTCAACGGTAAGAAGTTCAAAATTGACGCGAGTATGTTTCAACATCGCGTCCCACGTAAAACCCGGTAGTATATAATAATAGCGGGATCAAGTCTATAATTGATGTAACTATCCTGAAAATTCTCAAATATATCGGCCAACAATAATATGCCTGTTTTTAAATATACATCACCGTATTTATCGAATGGATGGAGAACTGCTGCCATATGTTCACGGCGCGTGCGCATAATTGCTCTTGAATACGATATAAAATAATTCGCGCGTGACTCGATTTCCTTCAACTTTTCGATGCAATCAATGTATATACTCATACGGATATATACTTTTACGTGCGAGAAGATCGAAATCCTCCGCGATGAGATTAAAAAATTCTGACCGCGTAATTTTCAATTTATTTTTATCGAGATACGACACTAATTTTTCTAAACTGGTACTAAGAAATTTAAATGAATTTATAAAACATATTTTTACACAAGTTTTCTTTTGATCATTTTTGGTGCTATCGACATATTTCGTAAATAAAACGTATTTTTCTTTAATAATGGGAAGTATTGGGTTGTTCAGAAAGTTCGTGCCGATTTTGAAAGAAAATTGAAACGTAGAAGATTTAAATTTTAATATACATTTATTAAATTATATAGGTGCCATTCTGTTTTATAACCTTTCTCCATCTTTCAGGCAACTTGAAAATTCCGTCCTTCCAGTATCTCTCAGGTTTTTCAGCGAAAAACTTTTCTAAGTGATTTTTTACCTCAACCAAAGTTGAAGCTTTTTCCATTAAGGGAATTTTGTAATGATCGAAATAAATGGAAATCAGAGGACGCGAGGTCTGGTGAATATGGTGGATGGGATAGAACATCCCAACCGAGCTCCAACAACTTTTGTCGAGTTATCAAAGACACATAAGGCCGCGCATTATCCTGATGAAACACGACGCCCTTCCGATTCGCTATTTCTGGACGTTTTTGTTCAATTGCTGTTCAATCTTCAATTCGTCTAATTGGGAACAATACTTCTCTGAATTTATCGTCTCGTTGTTTGATAAAAGCTCATAATACAGGATCCCTTTCCAATCCCACCAGACACAGAGCATGACCTTCTTTGGATGAAGATCGGCTTTTGGGGTGGCTAAAGGTAGTTCATTTCGCTTTCCCAAAATCTTTTTCGCTCAACATTATTGTAAATGATCCATATTTCATCCTTCGTCATTACTTGCTTCAAAAATGGTGTCTCCTCGTTGTGTTTATAGAGCGAGTTGCAAATGGAAATGCGATCCATCAGATTTTTCTCCGTTAAATCGTGAGGAATCCATACATAAAAATGGTTTATGTAGCCAAGCTTCACAAAGTGCTCGTGGATGATGGATTTTGACATATTCAACATTTCTGCTAATTTACGTATTGTATAGCGTAGGTTATTCTCGATCAGTGTTTTAATCTGATCTTCATCTGTAGTGGAGGGCCTCCCCGGGAGTTCTTGATCTTCAAGGTTGAAATCACTAGTTTTAAACCTAGCAAACCACTTACGCACAGTTTTTTCAGCTACAGCACCTTCACCATAAACAACGCATATCTTGTTTGTCGCTTGTATGGCATTTTTGCCTTTCCGGTAAAAGAAAAGCATTAAATGTCTAAAATGCATTTGTTTTCTTCCATATTCAAAGGCGTATAAAACTGACAAAAATTAATGTATCGCAACCAAATTTTTTCCAAGTATGCCTGAAGTACCGTCTTTTACGATATGTACGCATGTCATTTGTTTTCAATCGTTCTGATATATTCAGACCTGTCCTTACGCCATCTTCCAAAAATCGGCACGAACTTTCCGGACAACCCAATAGTTCTGTATGTTCATATGCGATAGCTATATTCTTGATAATAAAATGTGCATCGTATCCCGATAAATTATGAAAAACTACGAAAATGCAATATAAATTTTTGTAAATCAAGTTACAATTTGAATGCGCGAGATTTCTGTATCGCTCGGTCAAGTAGCAATGATCGCGCATGTCATCCGACGCGAACAGTTTTTCACATGGCAGTACTTGGCGCTATTAAATTTTTGCCAATCATCTCGCGTAAAATCCATGGGAAAGTAAAGCCGAAAGTATATATTCTACACTATGCGCTAAATTTTTAAGTTCTTTGGCGAACCATGCGACGCAAAAGTTACTGCGACAAAATCGATACATACACGAGTTATCGTATGAGCAATAGACATAGTATGCCAAGTTAAATACTCGATGTTGCTGATACGTATAACTAGATGTTTGTATGTCTATCTCCATCTTCTCTAGGATGCATTCTAGATTGGCGTAGATGAACGAGACAAGTTCGTTCCTGCAGTGATTGCTGAAGCTCAATCACTTGTTGTCCTCACTGGGCAGTGGGATCACGCAATTGTTTTCCACAGTCTGCTGCGTGGATCTTCTACTGTCTGAAGGAAGTGGCGGTGTTGAGAAAAGGAACCATTCTCTCTCATTACATTTTTACGTGTCCCATACCATGGAATTTTTTGACAAAGTCAGAAAAGTATTGCGCTTCCTGACTGAGTGCTTATCACCCTGGAGTGCAATGGGAAGACGGGATGATCCCGTACAGCGTGACAAAACGCTTGATTACAATGGCTGTAATTCGTGCGGAAGAGAGTAACAACAATAAAGGTCTTGTATATGATAAAAGATGTGAAAAACGCGAATGGCTGACTGATACTCAATAGCGATAACTTGACCATTGAGACCTTGGATGCTGATTATGAAGATATAGATTCTTTACAAAATCTAGATGCTACTAATACCATGCAATGTGTAAAACATGTTAAGAATTGTGTTATAAAATGTATTTAAAATATACAATTAGTGGTCGCAACGCTAAAAAGAAATGTATCAAATTTAAAATAAAGCATGAAATTTTTTGAATACATTTTAATTTCTTTCTCACCTACCCTGTAGTTTAGCTCCTAGTTAAAACTAAAATCTAGTAGTTTTAGTTTAATTAAGAATTAATTAATTAGCTATTAGAAATAATAGCTTCAAATAAGTATTGAATTGATCGATAAAAAAGCGCGCTTGTACTGATCATTTTTGTATTACATTAACTATTACTAAAAATTACTATAATTGGTGTGTTACTAGGTTATATTATTAAAAATTCATAAAAATATTATCATAATTAGTTTCTAAATATCATTCAAATTCGTATCATTAAAAATCGTAAATATCATAACTATTTAATAAAATTATGCGTAAGAAGAAAAGACAACGTGGAAGAGAGCGCAATGGGAGGAAAAAAATACGCAAATAATAAGTACAAAATCCGGACAAATTTCAATTAAAATTTTCCGCTATATTGTGCCTCCGCCAGAAGTTGTTGGCACCCGAGAAAACCTGATGCTTCTAGTAAATAGTCATATTCTCAAATACCGCCGGCCGCGATGTTGAAACCAAATGTAAAATATAATCGAAGAACCTATCATCAAAGGCTTTCGCGTTGGACGGAAGCAACGGAAATAATTCGATTCTTTAGATACTCGAGATCAATCATTTATGACGTTATGGCAAAATATATGGCTTTAGTCCAACGAAGGCTCTAGTATGCCAGAGGAAGAGTCATTCGAAAGAACACATCCCATTAAAAGGGCTGATTTCGGATGACCCAGAGCAATCATTGCGAAAAGTATCGATTGTTGGTGTAAGCGAGCCAACAATGCGTCGAATTGCCGAGGAAGACCTTCGATATAAATCGCACACATTAAAGATATGACAGATGCTCTCTGAAGCTGCCAGGACAAGCCAAGTTGTTCGTCTCAGCTCCTATTCTGGCCTCCCAACAGTCCAGATTTAAATCCCTTGGACTATTACATATGGAGCATAGTTGAAAGAATCACAAACAAGTCTCGGCATCTCAATGTGACATCATTAAGGACCGCTATTGAGACAGCATTCGTCAGCATGGACAGCGCTACATTGCAGCGTGCGAACGAAACGCTTCAGACCAAGAATAGAGGCCGTCATTCAAACTAATGGGGGATACATCAAATAGTTGTGCTCTACAAAGATTTACATGGTATAAAGTACCATGTAAAAGGATTTTGTAATATTTAATTTTTCATTAAAAACATTTTATTTAAAGAAAATTGTTCGATTTGTCCAGATTTTGGTGATGCACGCTATATATAGGACAACGGGTAGAAGAGAAAGAACTGCATCCTACAATGGATAGGAGAGCGAGAACAATAGGTTAGAACGTAACGGGTAAGAAAGAGAAGGAACGACCTCTTCCTCTTTACCGTGAATCCCGATGATGCGTTTTCCTCTCTCTCGGACCCCGCGTTTGTGCATTTCTCCCTCTCACACACACACACACACACACACACACACACGCGCGCGCGCGCGCGCGCACGCATGCACATTGTATATGTATACGCACTACAAATAGTGGGTTAGAATCACCTTGCTATTCTACTGACCATTTTAACGTATTTCTGACATGTGAACTATAATGAAAAATGTAAAAACGCTTTTTTCCGAAATATTAATTCCAAATCGAACACTTCTATTTTTATGGACTTTTATATAGAATTTTAAAATATTTTAATATATTTTTGTTAATATTGAATAAAAACGAGCAAAAATTTTTTGCCAAAAATTTTATTTAGGAAAAAAATTACTGACAATTTATATTTTATTAGAATTGAAATCAATAAAACTCAATTAATCTGACAAAGAATATTTCACAACTGTCTGGCACTGATTTTATTCTCTATGAAATATGTTGTTAAAGACAAAAACTAAGAGACACGTATTTTTTTATACGTTAACTGTTTAAGGAGTGAAATACCTCTCTGAAAAAAAAAACGGTATCTCTTCCGAGCCGAATATCGTCGAAAATATAAAAATGGAAAAAAGTTTTTTACACAAAAGTTATATGGTTTCAAAAGTACTTCAAAGTGTGAAGAAGAAATTTTTTTAATTTAAAAAATCGAATCTGGGATCACTGGATTATGAATCTTCTACGTTACTCGCCGCTACATCACTTCTTCAATTGGTAAGTGTGTTATTCATTCTCTACTTAAATTACAACCAGTTAAACTAAACGAAATTATATAGATATAATAAAAATATCATTATTTAACAGATATAATAAAATAATTTACATTGCTATGAGACAACATTGGATAAGTGTTGGATAATCTAATCACGCTTGGCCTTCGCGCGCCGTACATGATGAGTCTAATATTCAGGCTGTGTTCAGGCTTGGTTTGCGAGTGTTCAGGCTTGGTTTGCGAGTGTTCACATCGATCATTTTACTTCTAATCAAAGAGAAACAAAGGACATAGCTCAATTATTTTTACGTTATAACTTTTTCGAACTTAGTTGGATTAAAACGAAAAATTTCCTACTTATAATTTTTCAATGAATAATTTAAGTAACATTTATCCATTTTTAAATAAAAACTTTTTTTATTCAATTAGACTGAAAAACTGCATTTCATGTTCAAAATATTGACTTAAGCAGTATTCACATTGCACAGAAATTGCTGATATTATTTTTGAATTTAACTGTATTAACAAAACTGTACTTCCTATTCACAATTCTAAAGTAGTATTTTTTTAGTATTTAATTTTAGTATTTAGTAATTAAGTAGTATTCACGATGCACAGAAAATGCTAATATTATTTTTAGATTGAAAAGCATAGAGATATGCTCTATGTAATTCCTATAAATGAATAAAAATGCATTCAGGATTAAAAAGGATTTCATTGCACTTCATTATTTTCTAACGATAAATCACTTTCTGGGATCACAGATTACCATTTTATTTCTGAATCTATATGAATCCACTAAAATTCATATTATACTTATCTAGACGTATAGAAAGACGGATTCAGCGTACCCAGCAAACGAGAATGGATTAAAATGAAATGAAATGGATTCAGATTTTCGGAAATATTAATTCACGAATGTTAAAATGCTTTTCAATTCTGCATGCATTATTATAAGAATTTATTATAAGAAATAAAAATAATATTATAAGAAAGAACATCTCTATGCCTTTCAATCTAAAAATAATATTAGCTCTTTCTATGCACACAAACACAATTGTGAATATTGTTCAATTCAAAATTTTGAATAAGAAATGAGTTTTTCAATTTAATTGCATCCAATTGAATATAATTGAAATCATTCCAAAAAAAATATTCGCTATTTAAAATACGCATTCGGATAGAAAAAAATTTCAATCCCTTTTAATATATTCTCGTTTATTCTGGATATTCAATCTCTATAAAATACATATCTTTTTCGCGAATCACGCGGATTTGAAAACTTGATTCATATGCATTTATCCAATCCAATCTATTCTCGTTTGCTGGGTATTCAGTTTACTCTCTTACACCTCAAAAATCAATGAAATTAGAGGCGTTTTTGCATGAAACAAAAGAATCTGATAAAAAAAAGTGTCGTCTTCGAACCGAGATATTAAGCGTTAAAATTAACGATTATTGATCCAGCAAACGAGAATGGATTGAAATGAATTCAGATTTTCAGAAATATTGATTCACGAATGTTAAAATGAATGCTTTTCAATCCTAAATGTATTTTTATTCATTTATAGAAATGGACCATACCTCTATGCCTTTCAATCTAAAAATATTAGTTTTTTCTATGCGCAACACACACACATTGTGAATACTGTTTAATTCAAAATTTTGAATATGAAATGCAGTTTTCAATCCAATTGCATTCAAATGAATCTAATTGAATCCAATTATTGGGAGTACAAATAAGTTTCCGCCGTTTTTTATCAAAAATATTATGCATTTATTGTGAAAGAGGTATATAATGTTTTATTCAAAGTAATGGCCATCGCTAGCCACCACTTTTTCCATCTTTCTGATAGCATGTGGATACCGTGTCAGAAGAACGCTTCATCTTTTGAGGCTATCCAATCATCGATACAATTTTTGATATCTTCATATGATGTGAAGTGTTACTCAGACAGGCCATGCGTCATCGATCGGAACAAGTGATAGTCAGAAGGAGCAATATCTGGAGAATACGGCGGGCAGAACTTCCCATTTGAGTGTTTCTAGGTTTTGATCGGCGCCGCAACATGTGGTCGAGCATTATCATGCAGGAGAATAATTTTGTCATGCCTGGAGTAGTAGTGGGCGCGTTTTTCCTTGAGTGCTCGGCTCAATTTCATCAATTGTGTTCGGTAGAGAGCCCCAGTAATGGTCTCGTTCGGTTTGAGCAATTCATAATACATGACACCAAGCTGATCCTAC